TTAAATGAAGGCCTTGTGGATATATGAACAGCCTTCTAGACTGCAACAGATGGGCATGAATGTGCTCCCTAGGCAAACTATCAGTGACATCTGTGTCCTCCAAATTCTGGTGGTCTCAGCCAATTAGCAGGCAAAAGGGGGGAAAAAAAAAAAAAAAAAAAAAAAAAAAGAAGCCAGTATCTGCACAGCTACCCCAGCCAAAGCTGAAGCAGAAGTGCTTCTGTTTAGAAATGGGATCAAGAACAGCCTCCAGCAGCAAGAAGGTGGTTAGCCGGCTGGGTATAATACGGAGGTAACATTACAGAAAGAGCTGAAGTAATTAGGTAGAAAAGATATTAATATTAATACAGAACAAATCCCAGCCTCAGCTAAGCCTGAATAAGGCTAGCGTAATGGGCTACCGCAACGGATTTACATTGCTATAGCAAAGAACGGCATTTTGTCAGTCCTAAAAAGCAGAGGAGGGGTGAAAGTGACAGCCAGTGCCTGACACAGCTGAGGCAGGGGCTGCAAAAGCCCAGCCCTTGGTCCGTATCCAAACCTCCACCACATCCCGCTCTCCCTGCAGAGAAACTCTACCCCTGCAGACCTGCACTTCGGAATCACAGAATATCTTGAATTAGAAGGGACCCATCGTGAAGTCCAAGGCCCAGCATCCCTCCACCTCGGGTGGATGGGGTCGGAGAAGCACCATACTCAACAGCCGCTGCCCCTGCCTGCTCCAAAGCTGAACATTTAAGCTGCAAACAGAGCAGGAGGAGAGCTTTTCTGGGTGTCTTTGTTAGAATGAGGTTTGGAATGTCTTAGTGCAGCGCAGGCACTAAACAGAGCTTAAGTAAAGTTACCCCTATTGAAAAAAAAAAAAAGAAAAAAATAGTAAAAAAGGTGCTCCAGAGCTGGACTTCAAAGCTACCCTTAATCAGCACTTTTGTAAGAGCAGTCAGGGCGCAGGGTCTCAGGGGGGTGGCAAGTGTGTGGGGGGGATCACCCTCAGAAAGCCAAAACCACACAGCAAATGCCCACCCACAGGGAGCTGGCAGCAGTGGGTACCGGGGAGCCAAAACTGACCACTGAACTACACAAACTCCATTTTGCTAAGCGCTCGCTGCCCAAGCTCTGTGTTTTTAAGCTGTTCAGTTATACCAGAGGAGAGCCCCAGACAAACAGAGAACGTGCAATAAGCCATTCCTCATGACACACATTCTCCATCCCCCGGTGTCTAACGGAGCTCGGTGCCCAGGCACACGTCCATCCCTCCCTTGGCAGGAGCGGGCAGGACCTCTGGCCAAAACCAGACCCGGGATGGGGCCGGCACTGGGTGCCCAACAAAAGCACCTGTTGTTTTGCTCTGGTCATGACTTTTCAGAGAGACCATTTGGGCGCTTTCCCCTCACCACCGCTATCTCATGTACTTCTAGGGCATGCAAAAAAGGGAATAATTGAGGGGTAGATCAATAAATTAAAAAGTTCTAAAAAAAAAGAAAAAAAGACATAATGAATTTGGTACAGCACATATTTTTAGATCAAAGATGCCTTTGAAGTGACAAACCCTTAATCCATAAACTACTGAAGCACTTCCTTTCTCTCCCAAACTACTTATTGTCAAATAAAATGGAAGTTAAGGAAATTATCTTTATCTGAAAATGGCCAAAAGAAGCCATCACCTAATGACAGCCTTGTCAAAATGACAATTGGGGAAATTGTTAGGAAGGGGAGGCCTGACGACTGGAGGAATAAGCTTGCTGTTTGCTCTAATCTGGTCAGGCAGGCCCCACACAATTCCAGTCAGCTTGCTGTGTGAAACAGCTAAGTCTTTGTCAATGCAAGCAGGGGCTGGAAAGACTTCTCTTTCATGAATATGTATCACCACCCTCTACGTCCACAGAAAAAAAACCCTTCCAAATGGCAAAATAAAATAAAACACCAAACCAACCTATCCACCACCATAAAAAAATAAATCCCAGAATAACAAAATCCTAAGATATCGAGCTGTGTGGAGAGAAAATACTAAGTAATGAAAGCGCATGCTTTGGAAATGGAGCCAGAAGGAACCTTCTTCCCAAAGGCTTTCTTTGGACTTTTATTCCCCAGCAGACCGGGATGAGGCACTTCAAGTCATCACTTGTAAGTGCAGAGAAGCCAAACGTCCCATCGGGGTATGTAATGTCTACCACTCTATTTTATATCCAGCATTTGTCTGAAGGTGCTGCGTGGGCATCCCACCCCAGGCCACGAACACACACCGCTGGGCTGGTAAGACGGAGCCTCACATGAATGCCTGCCTAGTTGTGCAAGGAGGAAAGCACCCCTAGCAAGTATAACACTTCCATGGGCAAGGGGTTCAAGTCCAGGCACTGAGTCAGCTTCGTCTCAGGGTCACAAATTTCCTGTGAAGCTTACAAATACACGACATAAAAATTAAAGATGATTCTAGGTTTAATAAACTACATACGGCGCATTAATACGAAAGGCTTCCTTTACAGGCAACAACACTTTCAGAAGCAGCCAGTGATTTCCCCAGTGCTCCCACTACAACAATTTTCTGAGAGATGCTCGTGACTTTCTGCAAATAAAATCCTTCACAACATCTCGAGTCAGTTTTAATCGCAAGTCCCCTTGAAGATTGGACATTCTTTTTTTTTCCCCACATATATACAGTATTAAACTTCAAGCATTCAAAAGAATGGCATAAAACTGAAATAGGAGAGCCAAATCAAGCCTACTGGACTGCCAGTTGAGGCTGATGTGCAGACAGAAAGTGCCTTCACGAGATGAACTGGCTGAGAAAGGCAAGTCAGAAATACCGTGTCCCCACAGGACTGATGCTGAAACTCTTCTAAGCCCAAACATGGAGTTTAAAGCAACAGAAAGGCAGACAGGGAGAGAATGCAGGATCGAACCAAGCCTATGCCTGTTGCAGAAAACCCAAACGAGGATATTTTAAGATGCAGTGAATTTTGTCGCTATTGGAGAGCTAAGACATCATTAAAGCATTCAGCACTGTTTGAAAAGTCACCTTCAAATGTTTGTTGTTTTCTTTTTAACTTTGCTTATAAAACTGCAAACTAGATCTTACTTTACTCTAGAGAGCTTGTGGCGATATAACAAACTTCAGGTTTTCTCCAAGCAACAAACAAAAAGTTTGACTTCCAGCAGAGATACCGAGGCACAATGCTCAATTTTGAGGTTTACAGTATTATGCAATGTTTGCTGTAGACATTTCCATTTCATTAGCATATTCTACTTTACATGAAATCCAGCAATGAATGCTGTCCCTGATCTAAGGCTAATCCTCTTTAAAGAGCTACAGGCTATATTACATGTGGCCACAGCCACGGTTAGGCCGTGGCTGAATCACTTTGAAGCCTATTGAACAGTGTTCCCTTGTGAAGACTATAACACAGAGCCATAAACCAATGCTCCCTGCGCTGTGAAACCCTACTGTTTCCATCACCCAGAGTTTCTGTAAGGGACAGACCCTCCCTACTCCCAGGCTGCACAAGAGGGGAGAGATACGTGGCCGCCTCCACCACCCCTCAACCCCAGTTTACAACCGGAGCCTGCACGCCTGCAGTAATACAGATGCCTTGCTTCTAAACAAACACCATCAGACAGAAACTGCTCCAAGGGAGGGTTACCAGAACAATAAAAGGTAAAGATGAACCAGGCACCTGCTTCCCTGGGCAAATCCTCTCTCTCTCTCTCGCAGACCAGCCAGGCATCTGGAATACAGCAGGTTACAATGGCTCAATCTGAAAGGGCGACAGCCAATACAGCCAGAGTGAGACAAAAGATGCCAAAGAGAGAATATTTATTGAAACGTGGTTCCCTCCTGTCCTCTCTTTCTGCCTCTATTCCGCCTTAGATCTCTATGGAAAGGCTCACACTTATTTCAGGTCTATTTTTTTGGTCGCTTAATTTTAGGATGCCGAGCAAGAGGCAACCAAGCTGATTCACTAGAAACTGCAATTAAAGGCTACATCCGAGGAAAAGGGATAGTGTTGTATTGTGCCAGTAAGCTCCACAACATAAAGACATTGCAGGTAGAGAGTTTGAGACACAACTGTATATATCTTTAAAGAAAAAAAAAAAAAAATAAAGGGTCATGTACTTCCACGGCAGGCTGCATCTCTCACAGCTGGGTGCCTTTAAACACTATAAACTGAGATAATGGAAAAGAGTTTTTTATTGCCACACAGCACAGAATGTGGAATCTTTAACACCTTAACATCTATACAAATTCAAAGAGAAAAAAAAATATGTTATATTCACTGGTCCTGCTGCATATCAGCAAAAGACAGTTTATTTTAGTGCTTATGTTTAACTCTTCAAAATAATTTTCTTTGTTCAATTACTGCTTTTGAAGGGAGTTGGAAAGGTTAGTTCTGTTCAGTCTGCCTTGTACATATGAAATTATCTCCATCTAAATGGTGTCAAGCCAGACAGAGTGAGAAGCAGATTCAGTCTCTAAGGTAAAAATCTTGGTCCCAGTGAAGCGAACATTGAAGCTCCTTGCTATCAAAATAGTATCTCATCCAAAACGTTGATAATCCAACACATTTTCAATTGCTACCACACACCAAGGAGACAAGACCACATTGCCCCTCATGTGGCGAAGAAGTAAAGAAGTACAGAGATGAAGCTTTGGAGTCCATTCCAACGTGTGCTGAAGTGGTGAAGCTTCTGCTTTCAGCCAAACCATTTCACTAATTGTCACAGTTTTTACACTCCAATGGATTTGCTTCAGAGCAACAGGAAACAGTTTTTTTTTTTAATGCAGAAAATCAGATTTCAGCATTGTTAGAAGCTTATAAATTTCCAATTGAGTATTTTAAATACTTGCCAGTGGCTGAACTGTGTATTGTGATGCCATTGATTACTGCTGGTGTCTGTTCACTTTGACAAAGTGCAGCTTCCTCAGTTTAGTGCTTTAGAAGAGGAAGTAGCAAAGAGCAGAGAACATCAAACTTAAATGCAAGGATTAAGGAGAACATACTTACCTCTACTGTAATCAACCTGGACAGTTGTTCCAGTTCTTACAAAAAACACTGTTGGTCTCTTAAGGGTCACAGTTGAGGAGTGGAACGAAAATGGTTGATGAATCCTCACTCGCTGGTTGTAATACAGTTCAAGCCTTCTCTTGTTTAGATCTTCAATGTGACATCTAGGAACCTGACAAGGTAAAAAACTGAGATATAATGAAGATATCATAGGTCATATGTAGGAATGTCACAGGGTATCTGTAAGGGAGAAAAACATCACACATGAATTGCATATTTCTTGGAAGCAATTAGAGAGGGAAAATCCTTATCTGTATGCCAAGTATTTTCTCTTTCTAGTTTGAGAGAAGTTCCACCAAGTAACAGATGCAGGTAGATATATATGCCAGCTAGAACTGTAGTGACATAAACTAGGGAAGCAAAACTTCAACTGGTAAATCACCTCCACATACGAAGAAAGGAGATGGCCACCAAATAAATGAAAAACTGGACTCACATTTATTAGTAAACAAAGAGAACTCCAGCAGGGCTCACCAACAAAAACCCCACAGCTTTCTAACTATTATTAGAAGACACAGGGGAATCCTGCGAGCAGAGTTACAATCAGCAGCTGTGCACAAACTATTCATCCCCATTTGTGCTTCTAAGTTGCACAATTTATTTTTTCATTTTCAGCTCTACTGAAATTCATTAAAACACTCTTCTCAGAGAAACGCGACGCTCCAACACGCTTAATACTCCAGGCTTTGTTCCAACTTAAAAAAAAAAAAAAGACAACACAGAAGAGCTGACAATTTTTTCTTCTGTATCAGGGCTTAAAGATGATTTACTTTTAATTTTGAGCAAGATGCAAGCACCTGCTCTATGGCATTGAACCTCCATTACCCTTCTTTTTCCACTTCTTGTCCCATGGAAGCTGGAATTACATAAGCTTCTTTCCCACCAAGCTGTATGAACCTTTCTCTAAAGACATAGATGTCAAGAAGAAGGGGCTTCAAGTCACAAGGAACACCTCCTCCTCTTTCCACAGTGTCTCTGCTGTGCTTTCTTTTTCTAGCCCTCTATCTTTATCAGTTATTTGTATTTCAACGGAATAAGGAAGGAAACACTGAGGACCCAACTACTGGGTCTTGCTGTGTGATGCCAACAGATAGATCAGTTTGTTCCACCTCCCAGTCTCTTCCCTGGGTTTATTTCCTTGCTGCCCTGTGTCTGCGTGGTTTCACTTGTCCCGTAAATCACTCCTAAGGTGTCTAGTCCTGAGCACCAAAAGCAGACCGGGGAGAAAGCAGAACTACGGGCTGTGTGATGGATGAAAGGGAGAGAACCCAGACGGAGGAAGAAAAGTCCCAGAGAAAAAACAAACAGAGGGTGGAGGGAGCAACAGAGGGGGTAGGAAAAACAATCAGGAGGATGGCAAGAAGGAAGAACAACAGACAGCAAGAAGGGCAGGAAGATGGAAGAGAAACTAAGATAGCAGACAGGCAAGAGAGGAGTAAAGGGGATATGCCAGAGGGGTTCAGAAAGAGGACTAAGGGCAGACCGTAACATAGAAAGAGAATGAGAACTTGCAGACCGGAATAAGCAGAGTCCATTTTGTAAGAAATAGTTCTCTTCAGTCATCAAGGTGAGCTTCCTCATCAGTTTAGTCAGGTCATATGAGATGGGAAATGGAAGAGTTCTTTTTCCTGAGTAAACAAGGAGTGAAGTAGTAAATAAACATAGAGGGAACTGTGCTCTCTCTTCTTCCTTTGGGAGATCTCTTCTCTGCTTTATGGAGTGGGATGGTTTTTGGCAGTGGGATCTAGAAATTCAGTGAATGCACCTTCTTCCTATACATCTCTCTTCCCTCTCATGCTGAGCTCCAGCTGAGGATCTTGCTTTATCTTCGGAATACATGTGTCTTTGAGAAGGACCTATTGCTTTTCAGTTTGAACATGAGGCACTTGGTTGCTGTACGGTAATAATAACTCATTCCAGAACCTAGCTACAGATTACTGTGTTACGCCTTTCCCCAAAAAAAATCTTGGAAGTTACCACTACTATTATTATCATTAACTTACAAGTACCGCAACAGCTCTTGCAACATCAAAATGAAGCTTCTGACTTAAAAAACAAACAAACAAAAAACCACAAGACCCCACCAAAGCCGAAACCTACAAAATACCAAAAACCCCAAAACAAGCAGTGGCTCCCCGTGTCTGATCACACATTGCCACCTACTGGCTCCCGCCTCTGTACCCTCAACAGCGCTAAGGTGCTTTGGATCCAGAAACGGAGAGGAAGAGCAGCAGGAGGGCACAGGTTGGCATTTGAACCCAACGAGTGTGTTACAGGTGCAGTCAGTGAGCATTATTATACCCTAGCATCGCCTACGCTCTAGTACACACGTCCATCAGCCTGGATTTTATGGCTCTAAAGCAGCAATTAGCAGGCTTTCTGCTTACCTCACTACAGAGGATGTACTTCGCATCTCCCACAGGCGTGACGTGGGAACACGAGCGCGTTGCTCATGTCCCCTTGTGGAGAGAGGCCAACCCTGCAGAAAAATGGCATCTCGATGTACTTGCCCTAAAACCAAACCCCAGCACATTCAAATCCACCGCAAGTATCTCCGACGCAAAGCTGGACATGAGAGGTCTCACTAGGTCACAGCATCTGCTTCAGTACTCACAGGATGGCACCACCAACAAGCTGTGACACAAAAAAGGGCCACCAGAAAGCCACAGAAATCGTACGTACACAACATTTTCCAAAGGGTGCAGACACCCTTTACACCTGCATCTGTCCTGCCATACAGCTGGCAAACCCAAGCACTGCATCCGCATTTTTGATAACCACAGGTAAAGTCCTGCCTCGGGAGGGAAGGACAGAACCGTGGTGCAATCTCAGCACTGCCGAGAGCAGGCCAGACGTGGTGTTGATCCAACAGGATGGGGAGACTTTCATCATGTTAATTTAAATAGCGGAGAGAAATAGAAAGGCTTCTAGTTTGCTAAAGCATACAGAGGAAGCTCAGGAAGGAAGATTTCACGGTGAATCATTCAGAAAGAATTACTGATATCCAAAAGCACTCCTTCCACTCACTAACCGGAATACACCTTCTAGAACTCTTCTGACCTACCATGAACTTCCCAGAAAGACAGAGAAACATATTGGCCCTCACTGACTCAGATTTTCAAGGCCAATCGTGACTGAAAGTAATATAAGAGTTCCCAGTATTTTTCCATTTTCCAGAGTTGCCTATTTAGGCTCTGGAGTTATCCGAAGCCTTATGAATCATTTGTTAGAAAAACAATACGCCACTGCAGCCAAGCCAAAACCACCTCAGTCATTCAGTCTACGCACTACAAATACTTAATTAGCCCAAACGTCTAGCATCGATAACATGCCACTGATAATTACCCAGAGAAGCCACACTGGGCATACACAACCAGGAAACATCCATTTAAAGTAATGAGCATGACTTTTCCTAGACCTTCCTCCTCTTCAGGGATTGGCAAGACAAGAAATGCAGGTGTCAAAAAACCAGCCAGCTAGAAGACAACTTGAAAGGAGAGCATGGCTGTGTTCCACCTTTATTTTCATAGCCCACGCTATCTCCGTAATGCAAGAGAACGCCGTGTGCCACCGGCTTTGCAGTCTGGTGTGGGAAGGCTCAAATTCCCATCACCTCGATTATCCATGTGATAACTCCAGGGACGTTGGCACAGATTCACGCTCCGGAAAGGAAAAAACACGTCTGGGGAAAGTCACAGTCCCAGGGGGCGAAGAGGTTGTGCAGAAAACACAGAACAGGCCAGCAGCAAGAGTTACTAGGTCAATGTTGACATCAGCTCCCCTGGCCCATGTCCCAGTGGCTTGCTCACCACACAGCGCAGCTCAGCCCTACAAAGCTTTACACATTTACTTGCAGTTTCACTTTTGACCAAAGAAATTTCAATAAAAACTGGAAGCTATTGTAATACAGGAATGAACGCTAGTAAACCACGTAACCAAAAAAACCCCACAAGCACAGAGTGCCTGAATTTTTTTTGCTCACGCAGGAAGTTGTTTTTCTAAAGCTGGCAGCATTTCCACCAGTTGGAAACTTACGGAAGGCAGAGGCAGCAAATAATCCAGTTCCTGTCCTCCCCTGTACAAAATCATGCAGAGCTATATTTAAATCATAAACTAATAAGGAATATGTAGTTAATATGAGGTTACATCCTCCTAGGAAAAAGAGAAAAGGTACTTACATACCTTAATAAGTACAAGTATTGAAATAATCCTATCAGAGCAGTGCTCTCGCGGTCCGGGAAAGCAGGCTGTTTCCGGAACCAAAGGGCTGACAGGAATTAGAGCCATTAACAGATGCAATAAACAGCAGGGTTGCACAACCTCAGGCTTTTCCAGAAGGCAGCAAAGTGCTTTTGTGTGAGCACACAGCACACAGGCCCAGCCCTGCCTGCTGCGTGAAAGACGTTCCACGAAGGGAGAAACTCAGGGAAGGATCTGTTTTCATCCTCTGCTGTTCAACGTGACTCGTTGCAAAACTCTGACTAACCCCTTTTTTTTTTTCCCTGATCCAAGGGGAGAAGGCCCTACAGGCAGCAGATGTAGCAGCCCATGTACAGATAAAGCTATTCTACAAGAACTACAAAGAAACTTATCAACGCCGTAGTAATTCACCTGTTGGTTTAATAAATAAGAGGAACCCACAAATGAAAACCCATTTATGCGAGCCAACAAAGTATTTTGCCACCCGTGCCAAAGCAATCAAACTCACAGTATTATGGAGGCACAACACTGCACAAGCACAGGTACAGGAGGACGCCAAGCACCTAGGATTCAGAGATGAAACAGGGTTTTTTCTGCGTTCTGCCTCTTGTTCTCTGCTTGGAAGTAATCTTGCTTAGTGGAAAAAAAAAAAAAAGGCAGCCTTATAGAGAATTGCTAATTTTTTTCCTACCAGATGGCAGGGCTGCCTCAAGTTTTCTAGTAAAACGGAAAGTTTTCAGCTCAGCTCAGATCAGCAGCCAAGAAACAATTTTTTCCCTCAAAGGCGGTGCAAGGAAGCTGAAGGAACATCACTTGAACAAATAACAGAATATTTTAAAGCACTCCATTTAAGAACATGATCACTCCGCTGTTATGCTCGTAGCATGCTGCTCACTGAAGTGTTTTACTCATCTAAGTGTTGATACGGGGCTGAAACTGAAATTATTTTGTCCTAAACCCGAGCACGCCAACTCCGGATCATCCCCTCACCATGGCTTGTGACTATCGGTTTGAGTAGAGTCACCCAACAAGCACCCGATTTTCCGACGCCCACGTAAAACCCCAGACACAGCTGAGGTTTATTTATATTTTTACTTTTTTTTTTTCTTCCGGCTTTTTAGAAAAACAACCCAACCTCACCCTCACCCCGTCCCCAGGCAGCCCCAGCCCCTCCCGCCCTCAGGGCCGCCCTCCCTCACGGCCAGCCCCCGCCCCGCCGGCGGGAGGGCCCTGCCGCCGCCACTCCCCCCCTTCCTCGGCCTTCCCGCCGAGGCACCGGTCGGTGAGGAGCCGGTGGAGGCCGCATCCCGCCCCGCAGGATCTCCGCTCCCGTCCCCCGGCGGGAAGGCGGCGGGAGGCGCTGCCGCCCGCCCCACAGGTGAGTAGAGGGGAGGCCGTGTGGGGGCCATACCGGTTCCTGGGGTAGGGACGCGGCGGGAGGAGGGTTCGTTGGGAAGGCGGGCTGGGGGCCCGGGGACCGGTCAGAAGGCACAGCGCGGCCTTTCGGGGAGGCTGCAAGGAGAGCCGGCCGTGCCTTGAGGCGTGGGGCAGGCAGGTGCTGCCTCAAAGTTCAGGGGCGTTCAAAATGATAGCTCAGTAACGAAACGCCGATGTTTTGGTTTGCAAAAGCAGCCTGGCAGAGCTCCCCGAGCAGTAAGCTGCAGGCAGAGCGTTACAGCTCTTGAGTGTGTCGCTGAACAAACGGGCATCCTTGTTCTCCATGCTCCATGTCGTCCCCCGTCTCTAAAAAAGGGGATAATGAGGATGTTGGGAGAGAGGAAAGAGACAAGATCACGATTTGTTTGACTGAAGTTAAGATATGGACAACAGCTGTGCAACGGGCAGCCTTACTGTTGCAGGAGACGTCCGGATGTAACTGTAGAAAGTTTCCTTCTCCAGTTAAAATTACAGAATCATAGAATGGTTCGAGTTGGAAGGGACCTTAGAGATCAAGCTCCAGCCCCCCTGCCATGGGCAGAGACACCTCCCACTAGACCAGGTTGCTCAAAGCCCCTTCCACTTAAACACTTCCAGGGATGGGGCATCCACAGCTTCTCTGGGTAACTTGTTCCAGTGTCTCACCACCCTCACAGTAAAGAATTTCTTCCTGATATCTAATCTAAATCTCCCCCTTCTTCCAATTTAAAACCATTACCCCTTGTCCTGTCACTACGCTTCCTGACAAAGAGTTCTCTGAAATCTGTCTCCTGTCCAAAACAATCTAGGAATTAGAAACTCTTTCAGTATTTATGTGAAAGTATGTTCATTGCAGCCTCGATAAACCCTCAGCGCAGGAGGGGGTGGCTGAGCTGGGGGTGCCGGAGGTGGCACACAAGAGCAGACCACGAGTAGACTGTTGTAAAATTCATAAACATGAATAAAGCCAACATTTTGCATTGGTCTGATACACAGCTGTATACACTGCTGATTTCTCAAAATGTATTTCTTTATATTCCTGTGTTTTGCCCGGTCCTGAACAGTCCCTGTCAGAAACAATTAAGGAAGGAACTAAGGGAAGCAAAACATGCTTTCAACTTGGTATCAATTTCCGCCCGAGTCTCGAGACAGAAAACTCTCTCTGCAGGACAGTCTGCAAACTCAGTGACATTTCTTGGTTTTCCCCTTGAACCAAAAGTTACCACAAATAACATCTCACGTCCTCATACTGGTGCACACCAGCGAAGGGCAGAGCTAAGTGCAGAAAGGGGCTGGTTCTTCTGAGAGAAGAATTGCTTCCAGCTTCCCAGAACTGAGGAATGCTAGGAGGACGACGAGGAATGGATACTGATGCCACCACAGCCTGTCTTACAGATGGCAAAGGAATAACTTGCCATCAGAGTGTCTCTCTGGACTGCATGTGTACAAGTTGTTTGTCTGACAGGGTAGATTTAGATTAGATACTAGGAAGAAGTTCTTTACTGCGAGGGTGGTGAGACACTGGCACAGGTTGCCCAGAGAAGCTGTGGCTGCCCCATCCCTGGAGGTGTTCAAGGCCAGGCTGGATGGGGCTTTGAGCAACCTGGTCTGGTGGGAGGTGTCCCTACCCATGGCAGGGGGTGGGTGGGACTAGATGGTCTTTAAGGTCCCTTCCAACCCAGACCAGTTCTACCTGCTAGCCAAAGGACAACACGGTAAAACAAAGCACGCAGGCCCAGACAGAACTACTTCATGCTGCATTTTAAGTTCATAAAGTAATCCTTATTGTCACTGCTAAGTGACGTACTTCTTCCAAAGATAAATTCTGCCTGCAAGATCCTCATGAAGAGCTAGTTGGCAGCTCTTTACGGTGGTGGGTGCTTTGCCATTGCAGCAGAGGGAAGACTGATGGCTGGGAGGAGTTCAGCCCAGAGCAATCTGCCACTTCACTGGGGTCATCCAACGAGTCTTTGGCAAAGTGGTGGGAGATGATGATTGCCAGGGTTTGGGTAGGCTCAACTTCCACTTCTTCGTTCCAGTCGTTTCATTACATTTCCTGTTAGCCCATTTGCTTTAAGTTAAATACTCACTATACTATAGTATATAAAAGGTTTTAATGCCATATTTTTAAAGCCAATTTTTTTTAGTACTGCAGTGATTTCATACGATCTTACTTCTTTCTTGTAGTTCTGAGGACCGATTTCATCATGACCTCTTTTGAAGAAGCTGGAACTGAAGAAACGGTAACGTGTCTCCACATGACCTTTTACCATCCTTGCCAAGAAGACAAGATGATGTTTCGTTGCTTGGACTTCTGTAGGCGAGAACAGGTCAGGGCAGATGAAACGCCCAAGTTCGGCCGCGATTCTAATGTCTGCCGTTATAACTTGATGGATACTCGCGTCTCCCGGATTCAGTTTGCACTGCAGTTTTACAGAAAAATGAACAGCTCAGAATTTTGTTTTGAGATCAAGAACTTGAGCAAGAAAACAAAACTGACTGTGGACCAAACAGAACTGGGTTACTTAAACAAAACTGATCTGCCATGGAAGTCCATCATTTGTTTTGGGGACTACCAGATTTTAGCAGAGATTGAAGAAGGGGAGTCTGTGGATTATTTTGAGACTTACTTACACTTGGCTAAAGCGCCAATCTTACAGGAAAGATGCCTGCCATCACTGCAGCCTATACCAGAGAATGGCATTTCTCCTTCCTCGTTTCCTGCCCAAGGCAAAAGCCCCATGGAGATTGATGAAAACGAGTCATGCTAGCGCAGAGAAGGAGGCTGGATAAGATTTTGATCATCTGAAGCCAGCACAGCTTCTGAAATGGAAGGCTGTCATTCCAGTCCACTAGTTCTTGATGGGTTCTCACCGCTGCACGTCAGTCTTTTTACCTGGCACACCAGAACATACTTTGATCAATAGCAACAGATCCCTGACACTGTTTTCACCGGGGCGTAGGCGCTCTTTGATCACCACTGTTTGTCTCCCCCAGGCTTACGTGGCACAGAGGGCCACTCAGATCCATTGCAGCAGATTCAAGAACTATGTCCACCTGCCTCGAAGGTACATTTAACAGGCATCACTGTAGACTATGCAGAACAGTGTTTTTAGCCAAGTAGAGAGACATCATGTCTCGCTGCATTTGTTATACTTTGTGCTTTGCTTTTGATGTGAAATTCCAAGCAGTATTTTCAAGCCTAGGCTGTAACTTCCCAGATTTTACAGCTTAGAAACACTTTGTCAATAGTCCTTTAAAGTTAATGTTTGGTTTTGTTTTGTTGTTTTGTTTTTGTTTTTTTTTAACTTTGCAATGAGATTTTTCTTCTATTTTTAAAATGAATTAAAATATATATTTTTTGAAAGTTAACTGCTTTTGCTTGTGAATGTAAACAAACATGCAGTGTTGGTCACCACGATATGTAAGAATCCAGATCAATTTTGTAATAAAAGCATTTGGTTGCCTAGTAAGGACTTGTTATCTTCTACAAATACAATCACTTTCACTTATGGTGGAAAAAAATACTTCCAGGACAATCCAGATAAGAAATTTTCACTGGCAATATTCTGTGTTTTCTAAAAGTGCTGCTGCTCCAAGATAAAAGTTCACTAAAGTACTTTCAGCAAGTTTTCTACCTCTACCCCCACCGCAAGCTCTCTTACAATTTTGGTTTCATTTAAGGATTTCTCAGGTTGTTTCAGTTAAGTTTTTCTTCGCTAGGGGGCTCAGCCTTTCACTGGCACTTGGTTTTTATCATGTATTTTAATTTGCTTGAAAGACACACTGGCAAGAATCAGAACAGAGCATACATAAGAGTTACCCATCTTACCATCCCTGAACATTAGGACATATTTCAGCATTTATCATTACAAGAAAACAAGAATTATAACTGAGGGGAGGAATTAACACAACCTGAGATTAAGGCAACCAACAAGTGAAAGTCAAGGGAGAAGCAAGAAACTCAATCATGGTGTTTATGTAGGATTTCCTTTGTCAGCTGATTTCATCCTTGCAAAGAAAACCCCAAAACCTCGTTCCCATGTTTTCTACTCATTGAACTAGATGTTGGGACTTACTTAACTTTTGGCCTCAATGTGCAACTGAGCCTCTATCATCACATGCCCAGCCCCACAGCTTAACAAAACAAACCTGAGCAGGTATCACCAGCCACGATGCTGCTGCTGCTTGCAGGTTTCCAGTAGCCGTTGGCTGCTCAGCTTTTAGATGCTTTTGACCCGAGTCTTTCTACTCTTTAATTAGACAGAGTGGCCAATACCCACAAACGCAAGCTGTCTAGAGAAAGAGAGCAAGATGCAAGTATAACCTGACACAAGCTCTCACAATATAAAAGCTTTTACATTAAGTCAGCCTCTCATGCAAAATGCATGGCATTTCCTACGTTCACTAATTTGGCTTGTGTGGGAGGGAGGAGCCAGCATTAGTTTTGCATTCCCAGTAAACTGCTCTCTTCCTATTAGTGCTGTTAGAATCATAGAATTGTGACCTTTAAGATCATCTAGTCCAACCATCAACCTAACTCTGATAAAAACCATCACTAAACCATGTCACTAAGCTCTACATATACCCGGCTGTTAAACACCACCAGGGCTGGTGCCTCAACCACTTCCCTGGGCAGCCCAGTCCAATGCTTAATAATCCTTTTAGTGTAAAAATTTTTCCCAATATCTAATCTGAACCTTCCATGGCACAACTTGAGGCCATTTCCTCTTGTTCTGTCGCCTGAGACAGACTGACCCCCACCTCGCTAAAACCTCCTTTCATGTAGTTATAGAGAACGATAAGGTCTCCCCTCAGCTTCCTTTTCTCCAGGCTGAACACCCCCAGCTCCCTCAGCCTCTCCTCATAAGACTTACTCTCCAGACCCCTCACCAGCTTTGTTGCCCTTCTCTGGACTCGCTTCAGCACCTCAATGTCTTTTTTTGTGGTAAGGAGCCCAAAACTGGACACAGAAAATTTAAATTACTTAACACACTCTTAAATTACTACAGATGACGTGCAAGTTCTTGTTTTGTACCGCTTTGGGCTTAAGCAACAGTTTGCTAATCCTACCACTAATCCTACCATCTTGCTATCCAGTTTCTATTCACTGGCCCCATCACATAGGACATTAACCTACAGCAACTAATCGTATTAATTGCTTACATCTTCTAGGCTATTATCAAAAGTGACAACCCCAATCTCAAATTCTCAAGTGCAATATATAAACAGCAAACTGTCTAAAAACAGTACTTACCTGAGAAAAACTTTCCATCTGGTCTGCAGAGTTCAGAGTGCTGTCTCAGTAGGTTTTGTGTTTGCCCTGCACAGAGGGGCTCTATGGACATCCCCAGATCTTCAGCAGAATGTTCTTAGGCACATCTCCAGGCACCAGGAGAAAACCTTGGGAATGGAAAAGAAAAAAAACAAACAGAACAGCAGTTTAATGGTTTCCAAACACTAGTCATTTCTACAATTATATTTACCCGGGATAAGAATCAATGCTGAGTACACATTAAAAAATTAATCGTCTTGTTTCAGCACAGGCATATCAGAACACACTTTGTTCACCGGAAAGAGATTCCACTTCTGCCTCCCCTTACCCTAAGACTGCCGTTAGTCACACACTGCTAACTTAATTGTGAGAAATGCTACATGCACAAAAGCAACTAACACTTTTTGTAAGTTTTGGCTTGGCTCACCTGTCTTAGTTTTCACAATCATGGAATACTAAAGACAATGCAGAAACCCAGATTTTATGCTTAACCAAGTAACCCTGAACAGAACACCCAAATACTCACATCATTATATTGGAAAATGGCTCAATTTTAGCATAAAAACAGATGTATAATCAGCAGATTAACAATTTAGGAATTAAAAATAAGAGTTTCCTATTAAAAATGCTCTATTTCCTATATTCAGGCACAATCAACTAAATCAACACTAGCTCATACAGACATGAAGAGAGGGAAGCTGTTTGCATTCCATAAGGAATTTTTGCTTACCTTTGAAGTATGAGGGTACAGCTGCTCTTTCCTGATAGAAGGGCTCTATGCTCCTCAGACTCCTCCGTTACCGCAGCTTCTTAGAGCTTCCAAAGCAACAGGTCTCAAGAAGGAACACTATAGAATTCAGTAGTTAACAACACAACTAATTATGTATTAAACCTTCCTTATTTAGCTGATGCATAGGTAACTTTGGGTAACATTTCAACAATTCATCTTCACGCTACGAATGACATGGCAGCCACAAACCCAGCAACAGAAAAAACGTTGCCAAACATAAGACTGACTGAAAATTTTAATGACTTTCAAATTTGTACAGGTATGCATTTTACAGTGCTGTTGAACTGTTTTACATGAGCTATTTATATAATCTTTCAAGTTCTTAAATTTCCACAAAAATTGACCACAGTTTCTTAAGTCACCCAGCGCGGTGCATCCAACTCTGCGAAGCGGAACGCTACAGAACATGCCCGTCCCAGTAAAAGCTTTCTCCTGGAGTCAGCTTCCTTTTTCCCACCTGCTTGGTCATCCCACAAGCAGGACTATCAGCTAGTTTACCTCCTCAAAGCACGGTCAGGACAAGTCAACCTCACGTTTGCTGGTCAGGAAAAGTAGCGACCGCTGCAGGGTAAGTTGCAATTTCAGCAGGTAAAAAACATGTTATTTACAGGTTGAGAAAGTTGCCTTCGCTTCCATAGGAATGTATTATACAAATAATAGTTCAGGAGAAGTTAGACAGTAGTAGCTTATGCCAAACCAAAAATATACATTTGATGTGTACAAATTTTTAAAGCTTATTACAGGCCTTGCAAACATAGTTAATTGCATTAAAATACTTTCTATGACATAGCTACAATTTAAATTATGAAATGGAATGTTATCAACAAGATTTATCTGTTCATTAGTGTTGATATTTGTACATATTTAATCCTAGTGTGCAGTATTTTTGTTCAAGTTACCATGAAGAGGCCCACACTGTAGTGACCCCACTATTATACATCAACTCAGACGATCGAAAAAGAGCGACACAACTTCCACAGCCAAATCCAGTTCTTCCGACAATGCCCATTTACTACGTACTGCAGCGTCTCGCTTTTAGTCCACAAGAGTGAAGTTACACCCCATTCCACTTTTTCCAAGGAAAAATATGACAGCTACACAAAATAACAGTAGAGTAGAATGGCTTTACTGAACCTTTGGGGAAAGCTTAAGATCTACAGGTGTTTTGCACGTTCTCTTCAGTGAGCTTTTTTTTTTTTAAAAAAACCTGTAACTTACATTAAATATCAGGGGAGTCTACACAATACATTACACCAGATTTGCAGTAACTGAACACCTCCTTGAATTTCAGTCCGTGTTAGCAACATTAACCAGCCAGTTTAGAGGCACAGGAAAACTAGAGCACTTAAATACACGGTTTTGTAACTTGAACTTTTTTTTTTTTCTTTTAAAAATGCAGATCCAGGAACTCAGTCTTTAGGTTCTTGTTCTTCCCACCCCAGCAGCAGAGCAATCACCCTCACCCAGTTTCCTCAAAGAACAGTAATTTTCAATAATTGTTCCAGTCGAGCTGAATTAGAAGTTTTCCAGAACTAAAAAAATTTGAAGATTTTTAGTAACAAATATTGGTCTGTGCTGGGGTGCAGGGAAATCAAGACTTTGGTCCTCCCAGTTCTCTGCTAGATACTGGTTAAAATTTCCAGTTTGACACACAAAGAATTTTTATAGTTGTTTTTTCTATCTAGCACACACTAAGTCTGGTATATTATACAAGACAATATCTTACCTAACCTGATGACTTATACTATGTTTATTGAGGTTAACTGTACTTAGCATAAAGCAATAAAAAAATAAAATAAATGGAAAGAAGACAACACAAAGCTAGGAAGACTATAAGCTAGACAGGGAAAATCTGCAATTTACCATGTGTGATACTTGTTTCGCAGCTGGCTGAGAATGCCTTGTAAATAACTAAAGAACAAGTCAAAAGCACATATTGGAAATAAAAAGAAAATTAAATTATTTTTCTATATTCAAGTATTAGATAAATTATATAAGATTCATCAAGATAACTGTTAGGCCAATGATGAATTTGAAAAACAAAATCAGTAGAAACATCATCCAGAAAAAAGGCTAGTTAAAATATAGATAGGCAAGCTATGAAGCTTAAATTAGTGCAGATAATTTTATATTAAATCCAGATATCCAGAAATATACACAATGGAATAATCCTGGTTTTCATAAAAGTTTAGAAGGTAGATGATAAAATTGCACTTAATTCTGAATTAATTCAGATAGCAAGTCATTCCCGTTCCTTGCTAATCAATTTATAAGAAAAAGGGAACAATGTTATAAAAGAGCAAATTGCTTTTGTACATTCTATTTCACTTTTCAACATTTGGTCATAAACAAGGGCCCACGCAGCTCCACTATCTGTCTTGGCGATCGGAATCCGATATCCTGACATCTGATGCAGACAACTCTAACACGGGGTTTACAAATCCAGCGTATTCCGAATTGCCGTTATCATCCATTTCAGCGCTAACAAAGTCATTCTCCCACTCCAATCCATTGGAATCGTCCGAGGCTGAAGCTGGATGACTTCCCGTTTTCTTGCTATTAAATTTCAGTGCTGCCCGGAGTATATCTTCTTCTGTTTTGGAGCGTTCCCTCATTGGAATCATTCTGTTCATGCCTGCAATTTACGACATGTTTGTAAGACAGGCATAATACTGAGGGAAGTACTTTCACATTTGTGTTAGAACATTAGAAGAAATTTTAAGAATCCTTTAGCAATCCAGACTCTGGTAATTTCACTCCTGAGCATCACTCTATTTTTTCTGGTGGCGTTGTTCACATCAACCCTATAGTTGGTGGCCAGTTTTGGCCCAAATGAAAACAACAGCCAGAGATGATGTTTTACAGTGTTCTAAGACAGGCAGCATAGTGAAACAACTCACTAGCAGTGTTTATTTTATCTTATATATGCAGCCTGCTGCCCTATATGTAAAATGCATGTAAACATTAGATGATTTTGCCATATTAGATGATTGTACCATTTCCAGAAAAGCTAAGCATCTGGGGAATCCTGTAATACTCCTGTAACTTACTGACAAGACCCTCAACTAGACAAACAAGATCATTTTGCATGCAGGTACGTCTGGTAAAGTTCCCAGAACACTGTTTCTCCACTGGTGCCAATTGCTCTCCATGTAAAATCCACTGTACCTCAACAGACATGACCCTGCCCTAGCTTCGGTTCCTCTAGAACGCTAATAGCTCTTGCATGCACTAGCTAAAAAAAAATGCAGAGCATTTCTGGGTAAATCTGTGAAATTTAAGTCTTTCAAAGCAGGCTTCTGAACTAGATGTTTTAGTGCTCTTGACAGTGCTAAAAACATTTAAACCACACACTGATTATCAAAAAATCAGTCTATTAAAGCAAAAAAGAAGTCTGCTCTGCGTTGGCTAAAAGAAATCCTAGATTATTACACGTGAGCGTTTCAAGAGTCAAGGTCCCAAAATCTTGGATTAATTTTAAAACTAATACAAGAGCTTTTGCAGATTTACTAAAGAGAAAAGATCTACAAGAAACAGCAGGAGCAATTAGGCTAGTTGGGATACTCACCTGGCATGCTGATCTAAGTTATCAGTAGAAATTACAATACAAGTAATTAGGGTTTAAAAATACTTAACTCAGAGACTCCTGACCATCTTCCAAATCTTGAAACTAAGAGCTAGCTGTTCCTTCTGCCACCAGCTCACAAGAGGGCAGCATTTCTTTACCATTAGTTTTGTTCTAAGTACAAGTCAGAAATGCAGGAAAAGACATTTACTAAATGATTTCATTTCTTTGGATCCTTTATTAGACAGGTAACCTATCAAAACAAACAATTTCCTAAGTAAAAATTATTTACAGTTTAACCATTACACGCTCAACAGAAATTCAATCAGAATTAAGGTTTAAATCACCTTGGCTTTTGAAAATGATAGATTTACAATTAACATAGTTTAAACTGTCAGCTTTTAACTTGGAAGTTCAGAATCAAATGAATGGCAGAATAAATACCTTCTTCATCTTCCCACTCTAAATCTAATGAAGTGCTGTCGTCATTTCCACTTGTTGATTTTGTTTTGGTCATTAAATCACAACTGCTCTCTGTGTTGGGTGTCAGCACTGTAGCATCAGATGAAAGTCCTACACAAAAAAAAAAGAAAAAGGTATTTTTAATTCATAAATATACTCGACTTTGAGGTTCAACATGCAAAACTAAACTTTCAAAGAAAGTTGTTATTGTGCTTTGTGGCCTTTAAACCTCAGGAACATTTAAAAAAAAAAAATCACTTCATCTATCACTTCAAAGAGTATACAGTATCTTTTTAATACTCAACACCACTAAGATATTACAGGAGAACATTTAGCAATACTGTCTGATAAGTACTATAGAGGAATTTAATAAGCTGTAAACTGGATGTGTATGAAGACTTGCAAAAACACTCCAAAAAACAACCCTCCCCTACAAAAACCCCAAACTACAGGCAGTGTTTCCCAAGAATTACCATCAGTCCTCCGTTTAGTCACTATCACGGACTGTCATGAAAACTTATAGATATAAGCTTATAGGCAGCCAAATACTCTCTTTTGCTTTATTAGAAAAAAATTTAACCATTAATATGATTCTAATTATTTTGCTAAGAGATGATTGAAAATGCTATACACGCACATTTGCATCTTTAATACACAAGTTTTAAAAGAAAAGTTCACTGCATTGATGTTGCCTCCACAGAGGTGGCTGGAAAGCCTTAGTAAAACAAAATCCATGCACAGAACCTATTTGCTTACAGAACCTGCTTTTGAGAACTAGAATGGCTGTGGCACAAGTTGTATATACTGTGTTCAGGGATTAGAGGGGAAAGTAAGCTTCTATCCCATTTTTTAATACAAATACACGTAAAAATAAATTGTGTTTATCTAGAATAAGAAATAGTATTCTGTGCTCCTCAGTCACGTCACTTTTACAGACATACATCAGAAAAAGAAGACTTACTACTACTTCGAAAAGCTTCATATTGGAGTTTCGTATTTCTTAAGAAAGAATCAAGATCTTCCTCTGCCACAGAGCTGCAAGAACAATGCATGCATTGTTTTTAGCAATATAAACCACTAAGGATCATTAATCTTTCACTTCTAAAATCTGGCTAGTTCCTACTAACGCCATAAAACCTCAGTTTTCACAGCTCCTTTCCTAACTGTACTTCCCTAACTGAAAATCCCTCCTATTCCCCTTCTCTTCCATTCATAAATAGCCATTTCAGAGTTTTCTCTAAACTCAAATACCATTCCACAGTAAATTTCTCTGGGTTTTTTTGGGTTTTTTGCAAGGCTGGGTTCTCCCTCCCCGACCCCCACTGAAGCTGGGCATGAAGAGAATTAAATGAAAAATATTAAAGAAGAAACAGGAAGACTACATAAACCATTCAATTGCCCATTTGCTTAGTGTGTATTTTTATTGGGCATTTCAAACAGGATTCTGAATAATAAAAATATTTTTATAGTAGCTGAGATTTTACATATAAACACCTTTTTAATACAAAACACTACATTTTTTGTGTGTGTGTATATATGTGCAGCTGGGAGTAGGCTCGATTTTGTACGCAGTCTAATAACTACATAGAAAATCAGAATGAATGCAATCTACCCTCTAATTCCGCAGATTAAAAGTAACCTATTTGCATTCAGTAACTGCAGTATGAAGAAAACTGCAATCGATGAAAACAACTCTGACTTACAAATGCGGCGTATGTAAAGTTTGAAAAACGTGGATTTTTTTTGTGAGGACAGATAAGGAACAGGAGTAAAAACAGTCATGGCTCTTGATTATCAATAATAAAATTTTATATCTTACCTCTGATATTCTCCATTATTAACCGCATGCACTCGCTGCGTTATCCTTTGCTGCCTACGTTGCTATCAAAAGAAGCAAACTGTTCAAAAAGCTGAATACAATCACTTGGAGTAATATACTCAATACACTAAGCAATCCCTTGACCGTGACATTAGAAGGAACATTGTCCTGGTCCTTGGAGCAGTCTAAGTATAACTCAGGAGAAGACTGACTTTCATTCAAATAAAGATTAAATTTTGTGATAAAGGGACTGTTAAGTGCAAGTGGTAATGTTTTTAATCTCCAAAATCTCGTCATTTAAAAGAAGGTAGCTTTTTGAAAACAGCTCTCAACATTTTAACCTATTTCATGCACCAAAAAAAAAAAAAAGCACATCAATTTGCCTAGAAACATGTGAAGACCACTTCATTCATGATTGTATCTGTCCTCTCCTCTATTGCCTTCTCATATTAAGCCACAGGTATTTTCAACGCACAACTATGTCTATGGTTATGTCTGATTTGTTTTGCTCTGTGTGCAAGAATAGCCAGCCTACCATTTAAAAAGAAATATTCCCTACAGGTCCTTTTATCCCTGTACAAAGCAGCACTGCCATCTCCTCTGGTTGTCTGTATCAGCACTAAGTGCTTCATTTATATTAATAAAAGCTTTGTTACCTTCCTGGGCCAAAATTATTAATAGCTCTATACTCTTAAGACAGAAGAGGCTTTCATGGTATCACTGGGCAAAAATAGGTTGAAAAATGCAAGACAAGCCATAAATGCATTTATTTTGTAGTTACAAAAGGAACAGATGTCATAGAAGTAGTGGTTTGCTTAAGTTTAAAGGTTTAAACAATAGAAGTTGCCTCAAGTTTCTTTTCCCTGCCTTGAAAAAATGAGAACATAAAAACTAGGCACATTAACTATGTGATTAAAGGTAAATCGGTGATGAAGCAGTAATTATGATAAGATTTTAAGATAAAAACGCACAAGCTGGTCTTATAGACAAGTCTAACGTATCTAACTATCTTATTTTCTGAAAAATCTGTTCTCAGCCTGAATGGATCTGTCTCCGCAAAAGAAAAGCAGGGGTAAATGAACCAGAATTTTTAATGTCACAATTAACTTCATCTAAGAATTGCTCTTCATTGGGTAAATAGTCTTGCAAGATAACTGCATCGGATCAGCCAGTGTTTTTCAATCCCAAAAGCAGGATGTGTTTGTTTGCTTGGCAAACTTTCCAACTTGTGTATTTAAATAATATCAGAACAGGCAGATTGAAAGCAGTAAAGAAATGGGACGTGTAGAAGCAGAAATATCACATAATGGTGGTTATAGGTGAAAAGACTCAAGTACACAGGGAAAAAGAGACAGGAGTTTGGCACCAGCATAGTTTACAAGTGCGTAAAAATAAATTACTGACGTGTACAACATTTTTCTTTTAAAATTCATATACCCGCATAATATCTAATTTAAATTATCTACCTATTTTGCCAGGTCACATACAATTATCTAGCACTGTATGCTTCAGGATATATTAAAATTCTCCACTGTTACAAACCTTGACATTTAGTAGGGCAACATCAGCAAGCCAAATTAAGTTTTAAAAGGATGCCATACTTCCAATGAAAAAGCCATTTTCTCATTTAAAAGACTTCTGCCTACAAACAGCAGAGAGACAAGTTATGTATTCAAAAATGGCTTCTAGCTTATTTAGAAAGCTTAAATGCTTGATGCATATCTACATAAAAATGCTTCCTTAGAAATCCTTACAATCCTTATGGGGTTTGTTGGGGGGGGTTGTTTGTACAGGAGATAAGTGGTACTAATTTTACAAGGAGGAAATTAAGAACTCTATAAAGCATTCTATCTTTGGCCTTGACTAAAAGAGGTGCATATTAAAAGTACTGACAGACAAGAAAAATAGCATTTCTTGCACAGAACTTCTATAAAAAACAGTTAAAGCCATAAAGCATTCCACTTTTGCTGGCTTCATATAGAGCAGAAGTGCTAAAAAAAAAAGGCAGCCATAAAAAGATCAAAGAATTAACCCTCCCATACCAAATGACAAGAGGGTAGACAGAGAAATGTGAAATGAGACCTATACTTAGCAACGTAAATATTAGATGAACACTCAGTCATCATTACCAGTCTGGAAATAACAATTTTCCATTCACTATCTTCTGAATATAGCCAATACACTAGGGTTAAAGATCTCCCCTACACCTGCTGTAGATTTCAGCCTTTTTCGGTTAGTCTAAATTTGAACTTCTGAAAACTTCCTTCTAATGCAATGCATAGGTAGTGAACTGTTTCCTTGAAAATGCTACAAAATTGCAGCCATACACATTATAGACAGACAAAAAAAAGCAAAAGTGTTCTTTTTAACATTCTGATAACCTGAAATTTATGTGAGAACACATACTTTAATGGCTTATTAAAATGGTCAAAATATTAAATGACCTGATAACATGTAACTCTTTGAACTGCAACGTGAAAACCATCAGTAATAAATGCTATCAGGATACAGAACAGCATCTGTTTTCAGAAGAGCAGGAAAACATAATGTGGCTTTTGTTTAGCTTGACCAAGCTCCAAAAGCCCAGGCACCAGACATTTGAAAGTAGGTACAGACATATTAAATAAATAAAGACTACTGTTAAGTCATGACTGGACTTTGGCTACTAGCGATAGAAATTACAAGATGATAGTACAATTCAGGTTGGAAGGGACCTCAGAAGGTCATCTATAGTCCAGCCTTCAGCTCAAAGCAGGGTTAACAATAAATTCAGATGACTTGAAAACACATATGTTCATGTTAACACAAACCACAAAGATAAGGAACAATTAAATGCACAAATATATTAAGTATATTTTACAAGTCTAAATAATGTCATAATGTGTGCTTAATTTCGGGGGAGTTTACTAGAAAATCATCACAAATCACTTTAAAGATCAGTATCTTCTATATAAGCAAAGTCTGATAAGCTAATCATAGATTAAAATTGTACATCTCTCATTCAAAATCTGTACTCAGCATCATAAGCCATTTCAAACAATTCTGATCATTTTCAGCTGTTCCAGACAGCCGTACTTTCAAATCAGGTACTTCTTTCTCTACTTGAATTTACAACCCAAAGTAATTTTTTCATTACATTTCCTGAGATACAAAGGATATTAGGAAAGTCTGCATACATAGAAACAGAACAGAAGCTCTGATATATATTGGGGTCTTTTTCCCCTCACCTCCAAGAGCTTTTTCTGCTTTGCTGCCCTGGCTGCTTCACGTTGTGCAGCATATAAAGCCTCCTCTTCTAGTCTTAACTTCTCCTCTTGTAAGGCTAACTGTATATGAACAAAATAGTAATGGTTAACAAAAGCAGAACCTATCTATCTTCCTATGAATAAAGCCATAATTTCAATAAAACAAAATAAGAGCTACTAGAAAATAAAAATAAAATAAAATTGACTATAGCTAAAGCATTTTTCTTCATTAACTGAATCTAACAGCTTCCCCCCCACCAAATATCCCAAGAAATTTAGATAACTAAACATTACCCTATTGAATAAACATCATTACTAGCGAATTGCTGTAAATGCATTTTGCATTTTATTATCAACTGCACAGTGAAAGACTTTAATCTTTTCAGTTGTGTATTTCATTGGTACTTTATTAAAAAAAATTTAAAAATTATTCTCAATTTCTCTGTTGTGTTCCACATCACATTCCATTAATTGCTGCAATACACTAAAAACTGACAAATTATGGGGTTTTTCCTCCTTTAGAAAAGCTCTGGAAAAAACTGAGCACTAGAAAAGTTGAATCAAGTGTATACCCCATCTTGCCTTGCATAAAAAAAACAAAACAAAACAAAAACAACTGATGAACAAAACCCAATTGTTTCATTCACACGAATGGAATCTCCTTGTGTTCATGGCTGATGCTAGCTACTTTAAAAGAACCACTGTCCACACCATACTAGACATCATAACTGCTTACCTCTGACTGAAGTCTCATATCAACAACTCTCTGCTTTTCAGCAATGGAGTCATAATGTCTTTCTTTCAAGTCAGCAATTTCTTCCTCAGTCAGAGGTCTAAAAGCATGGAAAAAACACAGAAAGACCCCATCTATTATTTATGCATGGCAACCCCAAGGTGCACTTAGACATATCAATATAGTCTTTCTTGACTGGTCCTTTAATGCAAGTTGAACAAGCTGCGCTTTTGGCCTGCTGCTCCTGAGAATAAAGCTCCAAATTTCCAGTTTACTCATGACAATGCTCTCTTGCCTTACTCTTTATGAAGCATTTTTTGTACATTATTTATATCAACAGAACTACTAGAATAGAATGGTTAATATCTTCATGGTGTAAATCTCACCTTTTTTTTTCCCCCCTTACTTGTTTTGGTCCCCTAATTGTAAATTGTTCCCCTTTCAACTGTTGCCTACTTTACGTCTACTTTTATATATCTAACAAACAAGACGATAAAAGCATTATAATAATTATAAGGTTTGCTATATGGCTTCTTTGGGGACCACTGACAGGGAATAGCATTTTGGGAATGATCAAACTTAAATAATACAAAATGGCTAGAATTAGACAACCAAAGGGTACACTTGGGCACCTTCCTATGTTTCCGATAGACCAGACCTCTACATTTCTACTGCTGATAGAAATATTAGCAGTAACATCTGTGGAACTTTAAATGCAGACCCTTGGAGCAAGAATAAAGATTCTCTTTGCAACATGCTGTTTTAACTGTCTTGTATAGTTTTTGCATGATGCATTAGCATCTAAACTATTTTAACATGGTTAAGCATTAAGGTTACTTTGACATGTATTCTTTGCATGTATTTGACAGCTAAAAAAATAGAAAGGGTTTTGACAGAAACTCTGAAAAATTTTATAGTCACAGTGAGAGAGAAAAGGGAAGGAGAGGTCCTGAACCTCAAAGTCTTACCTGTGACTGCTTCCTGGGCTTTCTCCCTGTTAAAAAAAAAAAAAAAAAAATTAAAATAAGTCTGAGTTTGAGAATCCCATCACTCAACCAATTTTAAGATTGGGCAGAAAAAAACAATGCTAATTCATAATTTCTCCCATATATTGGTATTACAACTAGGGGGGGAAAATCCTGTTTTAATTCAGAATTTAAAAAAAAAATCTTGTTACACAACCAACTGAAGTGGCTGAGTACGTAAAACAAGTAAGTACTTCCAACTGAAAATAAACACTCCAGTAGTATTTCAGGAACCAAACTGTCAGTCCTCATGTTTTTAAATGCAGAGCAGGATATTGAAAATGTGGTCTGTGTCCCACCCATTATCAAGCTCTACTAAATTTATAAGAGTGAAGTTTTAAGGCAAACTTCTATTTTTCTGAAGTACTGTTCGGCTAGTTTCCCCAAAATTGTAAAGAGAGAGCACTCTGAAAACTTTCCTTAGCAAAGCAACCCAGGTCCACATAAGTTCTCAGATAGAGAGCATTTGCTGAGTCTTACACAAGATTTATACTGGAAGCAAATTCTCCTTCAAGCCTTCCCCATGCTTTTTTCTCCTCTTTTTCTTATATTCTTTCTGCCTTCCTGTTGTCCACAGTGCTCTCTTCCTGAAAGGGTTACTTCCCATACTCCCCCCAACCAGTTTTCTCTTCTCTTAGGTCTTCATCTCTCCCAAAGTGTTAAATATTCATTCCAAGAACAAGCAAAAACTCAAAGTGAAAAGAAAAAAAAACAACTGCAATTAAGTGGGAGCAAAATACTTGGAACCATTTTTAAGGGTTGTACTAGTGAGTTTCACATTATGATCCAGGTACCTACCTCATCACTTTCCACTAGGTTCTCAAACTGCAGGGAAAGAGACGTAAACAATCTTTACAATTCAATATAACAAGTCACTAAACATACACAGCAAATACCTTTATATATTTAACCTATCTTGTATAAACACTACTCCAATGGTAACAGTGGGACTGTAATAACATCGACAAAAGCCCCTACTTTCAGAGAAAGTACTATTTTTAGAGTGGGACCTATCTTCTTACCAATGTTTCTTTTCTTAAATGTTACATTGTCCTAAAAAGAGAAGAGACAAAACTAAAAAACATTCATGTATTTCACTACAACTTATTTTTAGTACAGTGATCCTACATCTAAGTCAAACATGGATATAAGTACCTACAACAAGACTCCTTACTGACCTGTATACTGACTAATTGCTGTAAACAGACTACGAATAACAATTTGGGAAGAGGAGAGACCCTTCTTTTCCCCACCATATTTCTGCTGCAGGAACACTCTCTCACAACTGGAAGCTGTGCGCTAAAACAGATTACCCCCACCATATATGGCTGCCCTCTTTCTTGAAAGCCAAAGCAGTGATTACAGTTATTATTCTCAGTAATGGGGGCAAAGTGAAAGGTCTAGGACTTTTAGACCATAAGGAACGCTCACAAAAAGTAAACCAGGTTATTCTGAGAATCTCAATTTACACAAATTAACCTTACACTACCCTTGGCAAAAAAGGGTGATATTCAGTGGCCAAGAAAGGACCTCTTGTAGTTATCAAAGTGGACTACAAATGCAATTAACTATAAAGTAACCTCATCAGATTCTAGCTTTTTGTAGAATCAGATTCATGATCCTGCAATCAAGAACTAAATATCCTGCACTTGCACAAGCAGAAAAGAAAAATCACTCCCAACACAGTATTGATGAAAGATGCAATAGGCAGCTTTCAGAATGCTCTGGTGCTGAATATCAGATCACAAGAAATACTTCTTTTCTTTCTAAATGACAGATTAAAGTGAGATGTTGTATTAATGTTCTGAGGTGGTGTAAGAATCTTGCTACCCAGTGCTGCACCAATTTGGTCTGGAATAATTGAGAACATTTCAGTGTACACAAACTGCAAAAGGTGTTGAAGGCATTTGATCTTTAAGGTCTCTTCCAACCTAGATGATTCTATGATTCTAGAATTCAGCTTTTCCCACTTTTTTAAAAATTTTTTTTAATCACTAGAAATGCAAGCACTTACCTCTATAGTGAAGTGTTCTCCAGTTGAACATGTTCTAAAATACTTTGATCTGGAAAAATAAGTCCACAGTTACACTACAGGATAGTGTTCAATTCACAGCACAAGGAAAACGAGCCTGCCAATTTCAAAGAGCTTTTGAAATATGTTAAGTATGTATAAAATAAACATAATATCTTCATGTATTAAACACATTTACTTCTTAACCTGTGCTCTGCATCACTACTAGAGAGGAAAGAGGCATCAGCTTTTCCCACTTTTTTTAAAATTTTTTTTAATCACTAGAAATGCAAGCACTTACCTCTATAGTGAAGTGTTCTCCTGTTGAACATGTTCTAAAATACTTTGATCTGGAAAAATAAGTCCACAGTTACACTACAGGATAGTGTTCAATTCACAGCACAAGGAAAACGAGCCTGCCAATTTCAAAGAGCTTTTGAAATATGTTAAGTATGTATAAAATAAACATAATATCTTCATGTATTAAACACATTTACTTCTTAACCTGTGCTCTGCATCACTACTAGAGAGGAAAGAGGCAAAAGCATGTAAACATGTTCTACAGAACTGGAGAAAAGACAAACACCCTTAAGCAAGAAGAAATCAATTACCAGGATGCTGGATTTGACATTTACAGACATTTAGTGTGTTCTCCAATACCTTTAATGTATTTTTCTCAGAAGCCATTATTTCAGGCAATTTCTGAAAACACTGGTGATCGTCATGGCACTTAACTGTTCACTAGCATCGCATCTTGTACAACATCAATGTTAAACAACACACTTTATTTTGATAGCTTGGCACAGCCAGAAAGGCTAAACCTCAGATAACATATCTACAAAGAGGTCAAAACAATACTTTCCAACTACAAAAAAATTATTCTCAGCCTGTAATTTTATACAGGGAATTAGTCTCCTCTTTGACTCTAACTATCTTTACACTGTCCTCTACAAAAAACAATACAGCATTAAGTTACGTAAATAGATTTTTACCCCATGAAAGAGGTTTGGCTATCATCCCAAAGAACATTCAGATGTCCACAGGTGCTTCAGTACAGTATCCATTTCATCAAACCATTTTAAAAACCAGAGTTTCCAGTTGCAAGTGCTGACTGATACCAGAAATAAACCCCGGGCCTCAGGCATTTCTATAATCATACAAAAGGTCTTTTCTGTACTTGCAACCAACACCTATTTCTACTACACTAAAAGCAAGACATTAGCCAAAGCCTGAATTATTTTTGTCATATCATATTTCACCTCCATCACATTTTTCTTTGGAAGTCAGTCAGGGCACACCTCCCCTGGCAACTTGTTGAGCAACCCACTTCACAGCAGGGTCCTGGTCAACCTTCCCTTCCCTCCAGCACTGCCCCTCGCAGTGCACAGCTGCCACTGAAGAACCATTTCCAGCTGATTCATTGGTACAAAACCAGAGACCAAAGGCCACTTTAATTGAAGCACTACATAATTGGGACACACGACATGAACGCTTAAAGTAGTTTTGCTGCTACCCCTCTGTGTAGCATTTTGGTGCGCAGGAGCCAATACCATTAACAATGTAATTTAATAAAACTGCTACAGGAAATTGTTTCAGGACTACCTATGTTGTTACCAAAAGCATGATTTCAGTTTACAATGTCAGACACTAACTAAATCATGCTCAGCTTTGCAAACACATGAGCTGCAGTCAGATTAGTTGCAAGAATTGAACTGTGAACCTATAGAGAACTCAGACAGGGCAGTGCAAGTTTACTAAATGTAATTACAAATAGCCCAACGGCAATGACACTTCAAGGAAGATGTACACTTTCTTCTACCTGCTGAACAGGGACTCAGTAACAGAAGACCTAATTCTGTGCCAGTGTTTGAGCCCTTAAACCCCACAGCAACTATGGAAGATTGAGGTCATTGGGGACAGAAACGGAAGACCCAGCAACTTCACCCCTACACATAATAACTTCAATTGAAATAAAATAGTAACCCATTAAGACGCTTACAGCTTTGATTATTCTCCTTCAAGCTCTACTGTTTCATTATTTTCAAAAACAGACTTGAAAAAGGTTTGATAAGCACTAGAGAAAATAGAGAAAAAGCACCAGAGGAAAAGTTAATTGGCCACAGGACCTGCAGAGACTGCCAGATCAATCTTCAAAGATATAAAGCTATTACAGACTAACTTTTCAGCGCTCCATACATATATGCGCTTTATTCCAATTTTAAGCAAAGTCATGCTATCATCTTTTATTTTAAAACTTACACAGATTACGTGTGGAAAAAAGTCACTAAAAAAGAACATCTATTAAAACCAGGGCATTACTTAAAATTACTTTCGTAATTTTGTTATTACTTTTTGTACTTGTGATTAAAGTAATCACAATTAACTTGATAAGATACACTATGCTGTTCCAGAAGTAGCCCAATCTGCAGAATTTGGCAGCAATCTAACAAAATTTATAAGAGACAGTTTTGTTTTTAATAAAATTCCCTGCCCCTCCCACCACACAGGGGAAGGAAAATACCTAAATTGCTCAACACCCTAATACTGTTCTGTAAGCTACCAGCACACCCCAAAAACAAAGATGATCCGAGACATGCGGCAGCTATTTACAACAGGCAGCACTGGTGACCTTTCTTTCATAAAATGATCCCTATATACAATATTCCAGGATCAGGCCTCAAAAGCCAACTAACATTTGCCATTTTAAAACCCAAGCAAGCAGTAAACCAGCAGTTAGATGAAAGGCACCGAAACACACGATGAAGTCTGGTGAGTAGGCCAGTAACTTCAGCAACCATCTGCTGAAAACTAATGGGAGACATTGAGATGGCCTAACAAATGATGCTTCATGAATCAAAACATGCACCAAAACCAAGTACTAGAACAGACGACATTGCAAATACCAAGGAATATGCAGCAGGGTATTGCAAACTTACAAGAAAAAAAAACCAACAACATATAGGTAGCAGTTAATTTAGACCAGAGGAAGAAATAACCTTGTACATAGAGTTTGCTGTTGTAACCAAGACTATCTTGTGCCTTTTTGGACTCTGTCCCCTAGCTGGTGCTCATAAGCCAGTTAAAAGTAGTCAGGGTGAAAAATTAAAGACCAAAGAAACCCCAAAACCAAAGCAATAATTTTAAGGGTTAAGTACACCTTGCCAGAGACTTACTGTCACTGACTGCTAAAAATGGGTATTAGCCTATGAGCAGACTCAGCAGAAAACACATGTGAAGCAAGAATCTTTCAAGTATTACCAGTTTTTCTAAGAGTATGGCACAAGAAACAGATACTTAAGTGCCAGCTGTTGAGCATTTCAGGTGTTCTCGTACTCTCTACTATAGAGTACCAAGAATTCAAGCAGGTAACCTCCACACACACTGTCCTGGTCTTTCACCCATTTCTCTGATAAGTATTCCTAGAAAGTCTTCAGAACAGGAACACATGACTTGTCGCTACAGCCGATGTGGAATAAGAGGCCACCAGCTTGCAACATGTAAAATGCTCAGAACTACTTTAATCCGAATACATCAGTCAAAAATAAGTGATGTATCAGTATCAAATACATCTAAGTATATGGAAGAAAACCAAGTTCTTGTACAGGTAACATACCCTTCCCATTTGGACACTGCTTTTCCATGGTTGTTGCAGAACAAAACACAGCCTACACATTTACAAGACACATGGAAGTTTATTCAGACCATTCTGCTCCCGATCTTCTGTAACAGTCATCCTTTATCCCAACAGAGCGCTCAGCCTCTGACTCACAGAGAACACAAGATGATATTCCAGAAAATACAGTGTTTTTCCTCCTTTGCACAAACACAGCAGCCTGCACAGATTTTGACAACTGACCTGAAAAACGTTTCTAAGTTGCTTCTTTGGAAAGAAAAAAAACCCCAACCGAGGAAGAGGGCTAAGGAGCAGGAATGTCCCCGCAGCCAGTTACACTAAGTCACCCCTGGACACGCATTACCATCAACCCTGCAACCCGCACAAAGCCCAGCAACCTTTGGACGGCGTTTCATCAGCTCCAGCTGCCAAGGCAGATGCTACACAGGCGTTTGCTTTCTCTCCCCCAACCCCGTCTTGGATCTACCCGCCCTGCTGCGGGGAAGGGGCGAAGGGGACAGCCTGAAGCCCCGGGTGTGATGTACTCAGACCCCTGCATGAGGCGACATGGACCCGCCTCACCTCGGCTTCTCCCCCCTCCAGAACCCGCCTCACCTCAACCACCCCCCCAAAGCCCGCCTCGCCTCCCGCCCGCCTGACGGACGGCTACCAGCCGCCTCAGCGCCCACCACCTCGGGCCGCCTCTCCTCACCTCCCGCCGAAGAGGAGGGAAGGGAAGGCGGAGCCGGGCGGACCCAGCACCTCCCCGCCCCGGGGTGGGGAAAGGGGTAGCCGCGCTCGCCCGCTTACCCTCCGCCTCGCTGGAGCCGACCGGCTTCCCTCCGGAAGAAGAGACCGCAGCACCACTGCGCCCAGCAGTTCCCCATCGCATCCTGGGCAACGGCTCCTCCTCTTCCCTCCCTCCCTTCAGGCAGGTTCAAACCGCCCCCGCCATCAAGGGCCGCGACGGGGAGAGGAAGGGCAACCGCTGACCCTCAGAAACAAAGGGCCGGGCGGGCGGAGGCTCCGCGCCGACGGCAGCTTCATGGCCGCGGCCGCTGCGCAGAGGCGGATGCCGCATGCCCCGAGAGCTGGCACCACCCCCCGGTCCCCGGCAGCGGACCGCCCCTTCCCGGGCCCGGCCACTTGCCTAAAACAGCTAAAAAAACCCCCCATATCTCGTCAGACCTAGGAATTTTGAAGGCTCTTTTCCTCAAGGACCGTCGCTAAAGGTATTGATTTCCCTTCCAGGTGTCGCCTCGAGGGGTGAAACGTTAAGAGGGCGGGGAGGTCCTGTCATCTGAGGTGGGGGGGGAAAGAAGTGGGTTAAAAAAAAAAAAAAAAAAAA